AATTCCTAGACTATGAGAGAGTGTTTAATCTCTTTTGGGATACCAGTGGAAGTTCTTGTCATCTTCGAACTAGATGTAGGCTACACACGGGCTGAACCAGTATAAATTCTTATGTCTCTTGGATTTTGCTATTTTCATATTTGTCTTGTTGTTTCAACGGTTCCGTATTGTCCACCTAGTGCAACCCGCTTCCACTGCGCACAACAACCCCATCTCCTCCACCAACCCTACATCATCAGCAATAGGGTTGATCACACAGCGTGTTCCATCTCTATTTTCTACATGTTAATAAAATGAGGAGGATGGAAAGTGAAATATTCATCTGGGCCTTCAAATGAAAGGTAGTCTCAATAATTTCTCATAACTGAGGGAAATTGCTAAAGTATTAGATGACTTATAAATGATGATGCATATTTGTTACATCAATTATTCAATAACACATTTACTTAGAGGATTCGAATCCTGATTAATGTGGTTAAAAAAATGTGATAATTCAGTGCTATTTGATAGATTGCCCAATGCATAAAAAGGGCACTAACGAATCGATAAAATGTGAGATTTTTTATTCATGGGGGTTGTTCGTCACTTCAAACCACATATATATATATATATATATATATATAAATTATCATAAAATCGATTGGATCTTGAACACCCCTACACTTGATCTAAAATATAAAACAAGAGCTCTATATAGAGTACCGCAATAACAAAAATATATGGAACCAATCAATTTTGATCAGAACAGAAATCATGAAACTGCGGTACTTGTTTTTGTTTTTCCAATCATTGTCTACATTAAACAAATCACAAAGCACGACATAAACTAATGTGTTCGTAGATGAAGTGATCAGCTCAGCTAGCCAGAGCCATTGAAACGACAATGCTTCTTCTAAATGATTCTTAAACCAAGATTATGAATTCAATTACTTCGTGGAAATCGCTGGTGATGCTAATTTTGTTTTTTCTTTCATTCTTTAATTACTTGCATGTATGCGCATGCCGTTTCTTATTATGACAAAGATGCTTCAAAGAAATTTTTGTTGATACAAACAAAATTTTATTTTAATCTAATTCAAATTATGGGGAGGGGAGATTCAAACTCAATTGCAGAGTATGGAGCACATTTTGGCTAAACCCATGTCTGCGCTCACTAGCAGACCTATACATGAGCAAGGTGGTGCAGCTGCACCTCCCCTTGCCGGAAAATCCTTTGGGGTGACCGGAATTTGCCCTTTTGATGGTGCCCACCATGTGTTCGATTAAATGTCTAAAAGAGACTTTATAATATTCAATTTAATTTCTGCTTCACATAAACTTGTTGTCTCCCAAAATTCTCGTAATGATATGTCTCTATTTAATAAATATCCATGAGCTTTAATCTCCCTTTTTGGCATCAGTCCTTTCTTAGTTTCTCAACTTATAATTTAATTTTGTTTTATGCAGATTTCACATTTCTTTATTCAAAGTTTCTCTCTTCTCTGTCGACTAATGTAGATGAGTTCATGGACTCCTTGCACTTGGATTTCCCTCACATACTTTTAGCCTTTTAAATATTGCCCCTTCCCTGAAAAAATCCTGGGTCTGCCAGTCTGCGCTTCAAAGAAATTTTTGTGACACTTGTAAAAATATGTGCAATTAATTATTATATATTTTGAGGTTATGAATCTCAACTCTAGTTTTGTCTGAAACCTCTATTCTATGTTAGTTTTATCTGTCTCGGGTCCAAATCAATATAAGTATCTGATAAGACAATGGCAAATATATAAACACGCCCCCCTCCCCTCCTCCCCAACAAAAGTTATGGAAATGGACGAAAAACATCTTCTTCTTTTTTTAAAGACAATGTTTGCCATGTGATCAGATGAAAACCAAACATGAAAAATTTAGTGATTCGGTGGCCCATGTGAGTTGGCTTCAAAGAAATGAATAATTATTATCTACATGGATTACGGAGCATCCTAATTGTCTTACGTGATTATGTTACGCGTTGAAATTTGTCAACAGATAATTGAAATCCTCTTTTGTTTAAAGTAAATTAAAGTGGTTTTTATGATTGGAAATGCCAAATAGGAGGCAAACGAGTCGGGATTGTCGGATTGGGAAACATTGGCTTAGAAGTTGCCGAAAGACTTGAGGCCTTGGCTGCAACATATTGTACAACTCAAGGACAGAAAAGCCATTCTTTTCGTACCCTTTCAATTCTGATATCTGTGAACTTGCTGCTAACAGTGACGCCCTTGTCATTTGTTGTGCATTGACTGCTGAAACCCACCACATGATCAAGAAAGTCTTGTTTGCTCTGGGAAGAGATGGCGTGATTGTAAACATAGGACGCGGAGCTATAATCGATGAGAAGGAAATGGTGCGGTGTTTGGTGAAAGGAGAGATTGGAGGTGCTGGTTTGGATGTGTTTGAGGATGAGCCTGAAGTTCCTGAAGAGCTCTTTGCATTGGACAATGTTGTACTGTCGCCACATTATGCTACCTACACACCAGAATGTGTTTCATGGCTTTGTGCGAACTAGTAGCAGGGAATTTCGAAGCATTCTTCTCAAATAAACCGTTGCTTTCACCCGCTGTGGATAATTAAATCGATTTCTATTTGTAGGTTAGTGTCTCCATGACTTTTTGCATCATCTTGCATGCCATTTTGGTTTGTTTCCCTTGGGAATTGTTCATACAGAAACCACTTGCAATGGAGCTTCAGCCATTTCTGTTCTAATCTTTCTTCTAGTAAGGTTCGTGCACTTATCGATGCAGGGGACCAAATATTGATGCGATGAATGGGGCTATTAGAGAATACAAGGATGAATAACTGAGGTGTTATCGTTACTGGTATATATTTGAGAGTTATATGATTTGCATGCAGCAGACGGTGTGGATTTGCTTGCCAAATATAATGATTGTTGAATTTTAACTCGAGGATGCTTGTTTGTATAAAATGCTTTTTTGTCCAGCTTCCTTGAGCATTTGGAATATAAGTTCTATGCTCCCGTTGCACGTCTCCGCTTTCTTTCTATCTATTTTCTCATGTGAGTCACGTGAGGAGAGAGATAGGAAGAGATAAGGGGGACATGTGAGGTGCAAAATTATTTGTAGGATTTTCTTAGACACTTTTGTTATGAAATACAATCAGTTTGACAATCACAATTATTTTGCTGACACTGGAAATGAATATTTTGTGTCATTTCAATTTTTGCTCACTTGAAAATTAAAATTAAGCCATATATAAAGATGAGTTGAAAAGATGCATTATGTCTATATTTGACACGGTTCATTAGTTTTTTAAATCTACATTATGATATTATTTTCTATATTGAGTGAAAATATTGGAGGAAATAAAATTGATGAATTTTGAGGTGCTTTCTTCCATTGTTGGTTTTGAATATTTTGTGGCCATATAATTTCGATAATTTCTTTATAGCAACTGTCGCATTTCTCTTCTTACAGAGGGGAGTTCGTGCTGTGACTTTTCTTACAGTCATTTTGAGGGGCCTGACAATTCCTATATGCCATATCCTAAGGACCAAACAATTCCTAGCGATCATACTACACTATGGAGGATTCTCATAATGACAAGGCTGCCATAGGGGAGGACTAGAAGGAAGCTTCAGGGAGGAAAATGAAGAAATTAACGCTAGTTTATCAGATCTTTACTTCCTGGCCTACAAAATAAGAACAGACAAACACAAATATTTATCAATCTTGGTTGATGCAGAACTTGTAAAAAGAGAAGAGAAGGTGAGAAGAACGAAATGGGTCTTTGGGTTTTAGAGAAGAGAAGGTGAGAAGAACGTTGACCACAATCAAATAACCCTGAAAACCCATTGGTTGAAACTTGAAACTGATGGGTTGGATATGATTTTAGATAACACTAGAAAGTGTTCGAACAAATATGTCACTCCTTAATCGAAATATTGTACTGTGGTTTGTGTCAGATATTGTTTTTTCTTGTTGGTGTAACAACAATCAGTTATACAATTATTTAATTCTAATAGTTAAATAAGCACAACAATAGTGAAATAAATAAATAAAACGAAATTTAATAAAATAGTAAAGAAATCATGACTGTTTCTGCAACGTAAAGAGCTTCTGTTGCACTTTCACTTTTTCTTTGTAGAAATGTCACCTAAACGTATACATCAGTTTCAATTTATCACATTAAAAAAAAAATTAAGAAAAATGACATTTTAATTTTTCAAACTTCATGATTTGTCATGCCGCTCAAGATTTGCTTTGAAGTTGCAAAAAGACTTGAGGCCAATGAAACGACAATCAATTATAATTTTTGCTCCCACGAAATGGAAAATAAAAAATAAAAAATACAGAACATAACATCAAATGAATTATACCACAGAAAAACAAGAGGCTCCCACACATCCCATCTCCTCCACCAACCCTACATCAGTAGCAATAAAGGTTGATCACACAGAGGGCATTCATTGCAAATCACACCGTGTTCACCTATCATTTTCAGTACTTCACTAATTCCATCTATATTTTCCACATGTTACTAAAATGAGGAGGATGGAAAGTGAAATATTCATCTGGGCCTTCAAATGAAAGGTAGTCTATATAATTTCTCGTAATTGAGGGAAATTGCTAAAGTATTACATGACTTATAAATGATGATGCATTCTCGTTACATCAATTATTCAATAATACATTTAATGTGGTTAAAAAATGCGATGATTTAGTGCTATTTGTTAGATTTTTCTACAACAACGATTCGCGTTAAATGCAAGTCCATGGTAACCATTAAATTTATATGATTCACACTTCTCTATTAAGTCATGGATTCATCCACCCATTAAATCGTGTTCGTGTTTAATGCGAATTTACAGTGAAGATGTACCCTACTTCTTGATAGTTGAGGTCATTGAGAATATTTTTTGGGGCGCCTGAGTGCCTCCACCATATGCAGACCTCTGGATCACGAAAATATTATAATGGTCTTTTGCATTTGAAATTCCATCTAAAACATATGCTACTATAATGATGGCCCAAGACCTCCCACAGCTCCTGATTATTCACCCTCCATTATCCTTGACACATATTGAATCTCAGTTGTCCCGAAAGTTCCATCTCCTCAGAGCATGGGAGTCAGAAATCCCTCTAGACCAGTTCTTGACCACCTATGCACGCTCAGTACAAGCCATGCTTTCCTCCCCTATCACTCGAGTCAATGCAGACCTCCTCCGGCTGCTACCGGCACTCAAACTTGTTGCGACCCCCACTGCTGGGGTCAACAACATGGACTTAGTCGAGTGCAGGCAGCGTGGAATTTCAGTGACCCCTTCCGGGAGTGCATTCTCAGAAGATGTTGCTGACATTGCCATAGGGTTGCTCATTGATGTGCATAGAAAAATCTCAGCAGCAGATCGGTATGTGAGAAAAAGGCTTTGGACTAGCAAAGGAGAATATCCTCTTGGTTTCAAGGTAATGCTACTTTCTGATTAGTTCTTTAGCACTGGGGATAGAATGATTGCTTGACTTTCTACTTTCTTATTTTTTATTTCAGTTAGGAGGCATTGGGATTGTTGGATTCGGAAACATTGGCTCTGAAGTTGGTAAAAGACTTGAGGCCTGTGGGTGCATTGTCTCGTACAACTCAAGGAGAAAACAGCAAGCTTTGCCTTACCTCTTCTATTCCAATGTTCATGAACTTGCAGCCAATACTAATGCCCTCATCATCTGTTGTGCATTGACAGATCAAACTCACCACATGATCAAGAAGGAAGTCTTATCTGCATTGGGAAGAGAGGGAGTGATTGTTAACGTCGGACAGGGGGCTATTATTGATGAGAAGGAATTGGTAAGGTGTTTGGTGCATGGAGAGATAGGAGGTGCGGGTTTGGATGTGTTTGAGAATGAGCCTCATGTTCCTCAAGAGCTCTTTGCATTGGACAATGTTGTTCTGTCTCCCGCCTAAGGCTGCTCTTACTCCAGAATCTTTCGAGAGATCAAATCGAATAGTTATTGCCAATTTGGAAGCTTTCTTCTCAAATAAACCTTTGGTTACTCCATTCAATGGGTGACTAAATAAGATTTTATGTACTGGTTTTTTTTTCTTTTGGGACATTATGTTTCTTGTAGCTTTTTTTTATTTTTTGGCTGAACTCTGTTCTTGTGGAAGTGATTCCCTGGCTTGCAAGACGCTATGAATTAGTATTTGTGACAATGAGTCTGATGATCATCTCATTTGATTGGCAGTTTTGAGTTTTCTTATTTCCAACATTATCTTAAGCTTGTAATATCTCTGTTTGACCTTTTTCAAATTCCTTTTGATCAGACCTTACTTAGAAAAGTCAGCCAAACAGAATATCTGAAGGCAACACATCAAATCAATACCACAGAAAACAAGAGGCTCTCAAACCAATCTCCACCAACCCTACATCAGAAATCAAAATTGAGTACACAGAGGGCATTCACTTATGATGTGTACTTGTGACACCAATTATTAATTAGAACATCAACTGACATGTGAACAAACTAATGTAGTTAGAAAATGTGATGGCTCTTGCATTATTTGTTGATATTTTGAGGAAAAAACCAACATACTATAATGGCCCAATTCCAATCCCAAGACCTCCCACAACTCCTGATTATTCACCCTTCAGCATTCTTCACTCATTTCCAATCTGAGTTGTCCATAAAGTTCCATATCCTCCATGCAGGGGAGTCACCACTCCCTCTAGACCAGTACTTGACCACCTATGCAGGTTCAGTCCAAGCCATGCTTTGCTACCATGCCACTCAGGTCAATGAGGACCTCCTCCGACTGCTACCGGCACTGAAAACTTGTTTTGACTTGCACTTCTGGTGTCAACCACATCGATGTTGTAGAGTGCAGGCGGCGTGGAATTGCCATAGCCACTGCCAGAAGTGTGTACTCAGAAGATGTTGCTGATACTGGTGTTGGTTTTTTCCTTGATGTGCAGAGAAAAATTTCAGCAGCAGATCGGTATGTGAGGCAAGGGCTTTGGACTAGCAAAGGAAATTACCCTCTTGGTTCCAAGGTCACTACACGTCTCTCACCAACATTGTTTTTCTTTTTCTTTTAAGGATTGACTGATGTTTTGTTTCTTTTTTTTTGGAATATGTTAGTTGTGTTAGGGGATCACGATCTTTAGTTGCATCGATATTGCCTCTAACTTAATCATAAAAACTCTTGCTCTAATTATTGCTTAACTTTCTATTTGCCATTTTATAATTAATACTGGTAATGAAATTCAGTCAGAAGTTTGGAAGCATTGGCTTGGAAGTTGCTAAGTGACTTGAGGCCTTTGGCTGCAGGGTCTCATACAACTCAAAAAGCAAAAAGCCATCTTTGCCATACCGTTTCTATTCCAATGTTCATGAACTTGCAGCTAATAATGATGCCCTCATCATATGTTGTGCATTGACAGACCAAACCCCACCACATGATCAACAAGGAAGTCTTATCTACACTGGGAAGAGAGGGAGTGATCGTTAACGTGGGATGAGGGGCTATTGTTGATGAGAGGGAATTGGTGAGGTTTTTGGTGCATGGAGAGATTGGAGGTGCTGGTTTGGATGTGTTTGAGAATGAGCCTCATGTTCCTAAAGAACTCTTTGCTTTGGACAATGTTGTTCTGTCCCCCCATAAGGCTGTTCACACTACAGAATCTTTCCAAAGTTCAAATGAATTCATGCTTGCCAACTTGGAAGCTTTCTTTTCAAATATACCTCTGCTTACTCCACACACTGAGGGAGAGGAATTCGAACTTGTACCTCGAGTCTAGTGTGAGTAAGTACTCTTAACTACTAGAACAACAATATTTGACTCTTTTTTTTGTCCATTACGTATTAGTAAACTATGCGTTCTTGTAGAAGTGATTCATTTACAGAAGTTATGAACATTGGTGACAATGAATAATTACATATGATATGATCTCATTTGGAATTGACCCGGGTTTGGGCTGGGTTCTTAGGTAGGCTCTGTTGTGGTTGGGCTCTGCCCCCTTATGTCTTCTATCAGAAGGCACAAAGACTTATAGGTCGGCTTTAGGGTTGGGTCAAACTAATCCTCAATATTCAATGGCTAGGAATGCCATGCCATGGGGAATTAACCTTGGGTTGGGTTGGACTTAAATAGAAGGCCTAATTTCAATTAAGACAGATTGCCCAATGCATAAAAAGGGCACTAATGAATCGATAAAATGTGAAATTTTTTATTCATATGGGGTGTTCGTCGCTTCGAAACCACTCAATGAAAATGCTTATATATAAATTTTCTTCAAATCGGATTGAATCTTGAACACCCCTACACTTGATCTAAAACATAAAACAAGAGCTCTATATAGAGTACCGCAATAACAAAAATATATGGAACCAATCAATTTTGATGAAAAGGGGTTAAATGCCATACACAGATGAGAACAGAAATCATGAAACTGCGGCACTTGTTTTTGTTTTTCCAATCATTGTCTACGTTAAACAAATCACAAGGCACGACATAAACTAATGTGCTTGTAGATGAAGTGATTAGCTAAGCTAGCTAGAGCCATTGAAACGACAATGCTTCTTCTAAATGATTCTTAATCCAAAATTATGGATTCAATTACTTCGTGGAAATCGCTAGTGATGCTATTTTTGTTTTTTCTTTCATTCTTTAATTACTTGCATGTATGTGCATGCCGTTTCTTATTATGACAAAGATGCTTCCAATAAATTTTTGTTGATACAAACAAAATTTTATTTTAATCTAATCTAAATTTTGGGAAGGGGGATTCGAACTCGGATGCAGAGTGAGGAACATATCTTGGCTAAACCCATGTCTGCTATTTGAAGAAATTTTTGTGACACTTGTAAAAAAATGTGCAATTAATTATTGTATATTTTGAGGTTATGAATCTCAACTCTAGTTTTGACTTTAGCATAAATTAGAAACCCCAAAATTAGAAGCTTATAAGCATCTATGTTAAACATGGATAAATTAATATACATTAAAGAATTTTTGGTGGTTATGATACATGTTGCATGTAGCCCCTTTTCTAGGATATTATTGGCACCTTGAAACCTCTATACGTCTCTTTGTTAGCTTTTTCTGTCTTGGGTCCAAATCAATATAAGTATCTGATAAGACAATGGAAAATTTATAAGCCCCCTAGTTATGGAAATGGACGAAAAAAATCTTCTTCTTTTTTAAAGAGAATATTTGCCATGTGATCAGATGAAAATCAAACATGAAAAATTTAGAGATTTGGTGGCTCATGTGAGTAATAAGGCTTCAAAGAAATGAATAATTATTATCTACATAGATTACGGATCATACTAATTGTCTTACGTGATTATAGAAAAAAAAATTATATTACGCGATAAGAGAAATAGACACAAAGTTACATTGTAATTGTAACCAAGCTAGAAAATTTCCAAAACAACATTACCTGAGGAAAGAGAAGGTTAAGGCACGCTTGCCTATTTTTAAAAGAAATTATACAAAAACAGTTTACAATGCAAATCATGCAAACCATTAAAGAACAAATTTAGGCTTTTCCTTTTTCTTTTTTTTTTTAGTTATTGCCCTGACTCATGTCTCATGCTCATAGCCGGCCAATTTATCTTATTTTATTTAGCAAACGACAATAATTTAAGGTCAATATTGTCTTTTGGTCTCGAATTTTTTCGTAACTACACTTCCTTTCCTCTCATAAATAATCATACCTTTTGGCTTTTGTTAACAAAAATTTGCATCCAAGGATCTTACGAAAAGCATGTTATGAATTGAAAATTAATCAAACAAAAGAAATTACCACTCCGATTCAGTTCACCTTCTACTTTAACAAAATAAATTACCTAGCATAAAAAATAAGAAAAATAATTTAATACAGTCACATACTAATGAAAACTCTATTAAGATCACTCTCAACCGTCCAAAAGTCTATAATAATCTTGAATATATAGAGTATGATGTGGAATTACTAGAATATTTACTATATATGTTGGTCCAATCCTGAATGGATTAATTGAAAAAATAAAATATAAATGTCCGTTTGGTAACCATTTGAATTTTAGTTTCTAGTTTTTATTTGTTGTGCTAAAGTATAAAGAAAAAAGAGGGAGAATGGAAGTAAGAATAAGAATAAAGATGAGATTAAGAGATAAGATGAGAGAGGATGAGAGAGGAATGAGTAACAAAAGTGAAAACGAAAACTAAAAACTGAAATATATTTTAAATTTTTTTCACTTTTATTACTTTTTTCTCCCATCTTCTCTCTCAATCTCATCATCACTCTCATTCTCACTCTCATGTTTCTCTATACTAGTCTATCATAAAAAATGAAAACTAAAAACTAAAATTGAAATGATTATCAAATGGATTGCATCCCTTCCATCAAGAAAGACTTCCATGAAATCTCCGGTCAATAACATTATGATGACACAAGTGATAATATTTTTTTTATGACATAACATTATTGGCTACGGATAACAAATGATATCTTTATTGCAACTGAGTAATTCTCCCTTCCACTAATGGGGACTAGAAAACAATTGATATAAAAAAGATAAAGGCAATAAGCAAGTGTTTCCTTTTCATCCATCTGTCAGGGTATTTTTGTTTTGGGATGTTGATTGATGTGATACAACATTTCAAGCAACTCCTGTCGTACATAAAAGTCATTTTGGTTTTTTTCTATATATATATATATATATATATATGTATATACAGCTATCTGTTTATCTTAAATTAAAACGTTCAACCTCTTTATCAAATGAACATGTTAAATTCAACACATGACATGCATGGAGAACCTTTTACATGACATGCATGGAGAACCTGCTACATGACATGCATGTTATAATAACATGTTGTGAAAAAGTTATATTTAACTTATAAACATGACATAATTACGTTTTCACAATACATGCATGCGATAACTTTTTGTTTTTATTTTTGTTTTTGTTTTTGTTTTTATTTTTGTTTGTGTTTTTTTTTTTGGGTGAATAATCGTTTTCACAATAAATATGTGAAGTTCAAAATATAACACGCATGCATAACCTATCATAACAACAAAATTGACATGAATGTTGCAGAAAAAAGTTATATATAGCTGAAATTGTCATAATTACATTCTCACGATAAGTATGTGAGATCTGCTACATCGTGAAAAAAGTTTTACAATACTTATAAACAAGAAATATTCGTTATAAAAGTGATATACACATGTGAGACTCATCACATAACAGTAAAACTTATGTGTATTTATATATTGTAAGAAAAGTTATCAATAAGAGATTTGGACCAACATGTCTATTGCGAAAAAAATTATATTTAACTGATGTATATACAGTCATTTTCACCAATCTAATAACATGTCATTTTTAAAAGGGAGGGAAGATATACATGAAAATCATGTACGTAATCAAATAGAGGAGTAGCTGTGTATTGCTTTGTCGATTACATTTTCAGCTTTCCAATGAATCAAAACGAACAAACAAACAAAAATATTGTCATGGTGAACCAGAGCCATGCAAATTTCAGTTTCTGCAGCAATTGATGTAGAAGGTTGTCTTGCGTGCAGTACTTATTGCTGGACGTACACTCCAGCACAACAATGTTAATTGGCTTATCATCTGGTTCTTACTTCAAATTACAAATTAATATAAGAAATAAATAGATAAACAAATACAATATTGGAAAGATTTGAACATATTTTAATGAAATCAAGTAAGCCGCCATGCAATTATTTGAAAAAGGATAACTTAGGACACACTTTATAACCTTTTTATTTCATTTTTTATGTTGATGAGGTAGGTTAGCTGCCTCGTAAGCAATTAAGAGAATGAGTTTTCGAATAAACAGATATCGTGCTTCGAATTTTCATCAACATTGAAAAGAAAAATATCATCAGATCAAGAGTTAATTGGTCCAACTTTTTTATTTTCCTCCCTCAACTGCTTTGGAGTCAAGAAAAAAAACAAATGTGGCCCACCTTCCATCAAACCCATGATCAAAAATTGCTCAACTCTAGTTCATTCTACTTGAAGAATACTAGAGATCCCACTTTTCTGCAAACGTTGACAGTACATGCATACACTGAAATCTTTGGTAAGTTGTCATGTCATGGAGATCACGCTCTTTGCTGGAGCTTGTTTCTCCCTTTTCTCTGTTTGTGATGAAGACAAGCACAAACTTGGTGACCTTGAGGACACGTTTAATCCAGAGTGAAATATATATATATATATATATATATATATATGTGCGTGTGTGTGTGTGTGTGAATGCTGCTGGTATTCACTGGAAGTTAGGCTTTTTCTTTCTGCCCCAAAACACTTTATTAGTACTTAGTAAGACCATCTCCAACCCTTGGGGTGGAAACTCAAATTTTAAGTTTAGCCTCCAAAAATCATCTCCAACCCATGTATTTCGGGGGGTGGAAATTTGAGAAATCTCAAATCTTGGGTGGAATTCCAGTCCCTTTTTTGCCTGGACTGATAATTTTGTGGGCCCAAAATCTGCTTTTTTTATTATTTTTTTTCTGACTGAAGCCCATGTGCTGCACAATGTTTGCTGGGCCCAGTTTTGGTTACACTGTTTGGGCAGCAACTTTGTGCCAAAAATCTGATATTGCTGGTTTGTTTGTTTTGTTTTTGTTTTTTTTTTGTTTTGTTTTGTTTTAAATATTCCAACAACTATATTTGTAATCAATAATCATGATTAATTTTAAGCAATCTCAACGGCAAAATTTAATGATTGTCGTTTATTTAAAAATACTTAGATAATTTAAACACACTTACATAATTCAATGAAGAGTTCGAATTATTCCGGGCATACGTATGGTATTGTACTTATTTTTATTTTTTAAGTGAAATTCAATTATGTTTTGGAATTTTATTTTTTTTAGATTAAAATGTTTAGAAAATTAAATCACGAGTGTTGAAACAAAAATAATGTCAAGAAAAATTAACAAGAAACAAAATTTAGGGGTTAATCATTCTTAAACAATTTAATAAAGTTGCGGACTCAAATTATGAGTCTACAAGGTTGGAGGAAAAAAAATTTTGAGCCCTGAAAATACATGAATAGTTGTATTTTGGAGGGTGAAAATTTGAGTTTAGCCCCAACATGGTTGGAGATGGTCTAACTTACCCATTAATTGCATCCAAATCATTTGCCAGGTTAGCTTAATTGTTAATGAGACAGATTACAAAGGATAATATATAAGATGCTATATTGTGTGAAGATGAAATGAAACAACACATCTGATTACGGGCCATACATCATTCTGTGCCCAAATAAAAAACCCTTTTGCAGGTTCAGACCTCTAGAATGACAGAATCTATCCCATCACAACTTGCCCAAAATGGGGTTCTTTGGAGCAAAAGACCAGAAGGAGTTGTCCTGTCTCATCTCCCTTCCACCTTTAATTAGTGTATCACACAGGTAAAATCCTTGAGAAGCTCTAACAAATGCAAGTTTTTTTTTTTTTTTTGGTGGGTCAAATAGGCAGGTAAAAGTTTCCAAGTTCAAACCCAATTGCAAAGAAAGCTAACTATGGAAAATAGCTAACATATCTTTCCAGAATGTCTGGTTGGTGGCATTAGCATCGGGGGAGAACCTATCTTATATTTCTGAGAGGCCTAGAAAAATTTTGGGAAAGACTTGGGATGATCTAGACCTAGAACTCATACAGTATGTATGCATGTGTGTGGGTTGGTTTGGTTTTTGGGGGATGTTAAAGTTAGAATGAAAGTATTATAGCTATGGGATAAGAGACACAGAGTGAGAGAGGAATGACGCAACAGTAAAAATAATAAGATTCTAATATTTGTTTACCGACCTCCCCAATGAACAGTCTTGGCTGTTTCTCTCCACTCCCTCTCACCTTCCTTTTAAACTCTGTCCTCCTTGCTAACTCTTCCTCAATAACCAACTCTCTCTCTCTCTTTCTCTCTATTCTCTCTCTTCTCTCTCTCTCTCTCTCTCTCTCTCTCTCTACTACAAGTACCAACCCAACAACCAACAAATAGTGCGCTTCCCAGTTCCAAAACTAAGAAGGCTGCATTATATGCTAAGCATGCCAATGCCGCCTCCTCAACATCTCCCACCAACAAATGAAGCAAAGAATGAAAATGAAGAAAACCCTTCGGTTTTTGATGCTTCAGTTGCTCAGTACCAATCCAGCATACCCTCCAAATTCATATGGCCCGACCACGAGAAGCCATGCCCTGAGCCGCCAGAGCTTCCAGTTCCTCACATTGACATGAAAGGCTTTCTCACAGGGGACACTAGGGAGGTCTCAAACGCGACTCGTTTAGTCGATGAGGCATGCAGGAAGCATGGATTTTTCCTCGTTGTTAATCATGGAGTTGATTCGCAGCTCATAGCAAAAGCTCATGAATACATGGACTTGTTCTTTGGCATGCAACTCTCACAGAAGCAAAGGGCTCAGAGAAAGACTGGTGACCACTGCGGATATGCCAGTAGCTTCATTGGCAGGTTCTCCTCCAAACTTCCATGGAAAGAAACACTTTCTTTCAGATATAGTGCCGACAGCCACTGCACAGTCAATGACTATTTTGTGAATGTAATGGGTGAAGATTTCAAAGAATTCGGGTAAGAACACATAATCAAGAGTATAATGTTGTGATTCTGCAATAAAAGAAATATATCTACTCAAATTAATTTCATGATAGATAAGTGGATTATGTCATCACCAATCACTAAACCAAAAAAATAATCATCATGATCTCATACATTACCAATAGCCCTTTACTTATGCAGCATATTTTTTTCCCTGCTAGGAAGGTGTACCAAGAATACTGTGAAGCCGTGAGCAATCTCTCCAATGGGATAATGGAGCTGCTGGGAATGAGCTTAGGAGTTGGCCAAGAGTATTTCAGAGAATTCTTCGAAGGAAACGATTCAATAATGAGGTTGAACTACTATCCCAGATGCCAAAAACCAGATTTAACACTAGGAACTGGGCCTCACTGTGATCCCACTTCCTTAACAATTCTTCATCAAGATCAAGTAGGCGGCCTTCAAGTGTTTGTAGATGAAAAGTGGCGCTCTGTTACTCCTAAGCCTGATGCTTTTGTTGTCAACATTGGTGATACATTTATGGTAAGTTATTTCATTTATGAATTAGGCTCAGTTTGTTTAGAAAGAAAATCTTTTTCGTTTTTCCCCCTACGAAAAGTCTACAAGACTCCAACATGTGGGACAAAAACAGGACCTTCAGAAGACTTTCTACGCAAAATATGAAGCACTCTTTATGAATTTGAATATGTGCTTTCTCTGATGTGATTTTTCAGGCTCTATCCAATGGGATTTACAAGAGCTGCTTGCATAGAGCAGTGGTAAACAACAGAACTGTGAGGAAATCTCTTACTTTCTTCCTTTGTCCCAAAAAGGACAGGGTGGTGACCCCACCAAGAGGTTTGGTTGATACCAAGAGCCCAAGGATGTACCCGGACTTTACCTGGCCTACTTTGCTAGAGTTTACACAGAAACACTACCGGGCTGACATGAAGACGCTGGATGCCTTCTCGGACTGGATTATAAATAAAAACAACTAACCATGAAAGAAGCACCAGGAAAAGTAGGTGTACGTAAAGCTTTGGTGGGTGTTCATGGGAAAAGATGACAGAAACACCAAGAAGGGAGGAGAGGGAACTAGGCTGTTAACTAGTGTGTCATCGTCGGAGAGAATCATGTCAATTTGGAGGCATAAATAAGTTAAGGGGCTCCATAACTTCTTCTTAATTTTACTTTTCTGTCAATTCAACAATGAATCATTGTAATTATAATATATACTTTGTTGACCACCAAGCTGTGTTGTTATTGGACTTCCATAAACTATTCTAATTAATATCTGCATGTACAGCCGTCAACTTCCAAAGAAATTATGCCTTTCAGCACGATATCAAAGTAAAGGAACAGATAAACAGAATTGTTAATCTAGAACAATGTATACTTTAGTATATCTTAATTACTATGAGAACTTATATGCAGGGTGAGGTTTTTCTCATTTCATCCTCACAAGTATCGACAGTGACGTGAGTTTTAACAAGTAGGGTAATGTCCTTTGCTTAAGATGCACAAAGTTTTAATATATATAAATTGGTGTGCATCTTTGCTTTTTACTACTTCAACCAAAAGTGAAGAATAGTTTTTAGGTAAACATTAAACAAATACTTGTAAAGAGAACATATGGCTTAGAATTAGATTCACAACCAAGCACCATAACTATTTTATATTAGGTTTTTCTAGTTTTAATATTATCTATTATATCTGTGTAGTTCAGCAACATTGCAGTGGAGCACAAAATCAATTCTTTGTCAAATCAATTGAAAGAACTACCATTTGTTGGTAACATGAAAGTTTACTAAAGTGTGCTAAATCCTGACTATAATCTTATTACTATTGTACATGTTTACTTACCGGAAATGGAGGAAGCCATGAATCAGGAAATTTAGATAAAAGAATCAAGGTATTGGAATCGGATAAACTACTTCCCCTAGTTGATACCATTCCCGATTTTGAGGGTATTTAATTACGGATTTTACGGTGGAATTCGCATAATATTTTATTCCTTATTTGTTAGTAAACGCGGAAAATCAGGAATTGGAATCATCCCAATACCATGCATTAGTAAACATAGGAGAAGCATATATTGGATTCATTCCAATACTCATTCCTGATAAGTAAACATTCCAAAGACCCTTTGTTAAATAAAACTGTTAGAAGACTACACAAATGTAATTAAGCCATATTTTTAGTAGCCTAATTTTAGCCATAATTTTCTTTGGTAAAAAGAAAACACCAACAGCGAAAAAAAAAAAAAAAAACAACAACAACAACAATTGGAAAGCAAGGCATTACCAGAACGTCCATGGCTGAAACACCAATAATTGAGAAGAGCTCACCCAAATGTCAGCTGCTGAGTACCCACAAAAACCCAAGAGCTTGAAGCCTCAGACAACAACAAAGTGAAAAGGTTGAAGCAATTCCTCAGTTGCCCAACTGAAAACGATCAAATTGAAGCCAATGCGTGAAGGACCAAAGATAGGCCAAGGCGTAGCGAAGCAGAGTGTGGAGGTCAAGCTTGTGAGCTTAAGGGGTGGAATGGATGTCAAACTTGAGAGAGAACGATCGGGTTTTGTGTGGGAGATTTTAAAAATAAAAGAAAATGAAAAAGGTCAATATTTTACTTTTACTTTTTCAAAAGCACTTTTTTAATGTCTGCCCAAATATGGTTTTGAATACCTTTTGCTTTTGGCAGTTAGAGGAAGAACAAGCAAGAATTCGGGAGTGATGGTTACTTTTACTTTTATCTTCTTTCATCTTGTTGTGATCTTGCAATTTAATTTGATATTTGAAATTGTTTAATTTATAAATGGGTATTAAAGGCATTTTTAGATAATTAAAGGCGTCTCTAACAATGTTTAGTTAAAAAAGTTAAAGACCCTTAGGTTATAAAAGCACTTGGGAGTGCATTATGGAGGAAGCATATGTTCTTCAGAAATGCACTTCCGAGATGCACTTGGATTTTTATTAAAAATTTTGACGTGCTTCTAATAAAAGTGCTTCTAGTCAAAGCGCTTATGAATAGAAGTCATTTAAAAAAAAAAGCATTCCAAAGGAACTTTAAATGACTTCTAATTTGGTTGAGTTTATTCAGTAATGATTCTTTAAGGATGACTTAAATAATTAACAATTTAATTATCATACGACATTGTATAATAAGAATGAGAACGAATAATATAGAAGGGTGGTCAAGAAGTTATTAATTAGCATTCTCCAAAGAAATTATTGGTCAAGAAGTTGTGCATAAGTTGATTTTCCGCATATCATTTCTTTTTTATAATTGTTTTCATAGGTTAGATTACTTGTGGACACTAGTGGACCCATGAATTTTTTAGCGGAGGTGCAATTTTAAAAGGGTAAAAATTCCTTGTGGATTGAACATCTCCGTTTGGATGAAGAAATTGCAAATTACATAGAATTCTAAAATGACAGAATTTAGATTTCCGTCATTTCAATTTCTGGCAATTGAAGATTTCAGTGTTTGGATTTATGTATGTCGAATTTTGTAAATGATAGAAATTAAATATTTTAAAAAAAAATGATTACCAACATAGAAGGTATTCCTTGAAGTATAAAATAACACATCGTTTGATGAACTAAATAACTCAACTTAAACAAACATAGCATATTAGCAAACCAAATCACTCCCCACGTGCAATAAACATCAACAACATACTCTTTTTTTTCCTCAATTGGGAGTGCCTTCAGCATATGAAATTGTTTGTCATTTTCTATCAACCAAGCACATGCTTTGAGTTGTTCATTTCACTAAGACCTGGTACTACTTGTACTTCAACATATACCTATACTGGATCAAGGTTCTTAGTATCAGCAAGGATAAACTCTTCAAATGATAAAGCCATTCTAGCAATCGAATCAACAATAACATCTTTGATAGAACCTCTTTTCTTTGTAGGAAGAATATCAGAAGAATTTGATGCACGATTTCTTCTCTTTTGGCCATTTGCTGAGGTTGGTGAAATATCATCAATAACATGAATATCTTCTAAATCTTGTGTATCACCATCCAAATCAACATGATCAACTTCATTAGTAGGAGTCATAACCTCAGTTGCATCTACACCTATTTCAGCACCCTCTCCAGTGGCATGAGACCTCTAGCATTAAATCGAAAACCTCTAGCATCGTCATGAGACTACCAAACAAATAATCAAAGTCAAATAAGAAAGAAAGAAGACCAAAATCGATTTTCAACAGCATATAACAATCAATAAAGCTTTTCGTTTCCTTATAGAGTATATAAAAAGCTTTTCAGCATCATAGGCTTTTTCTTCAGAGTAAAGAAACGAAGGGTAAAACTTGAACAAGGCGATAATACAAAGCGATAAAGCTAGCAAACAACTACAGAATTGTACCATAAACACAAATCACACACCAATATCCATGGGCATAGAGTATTTTGTTAAAACTTCCCAAAATCCAGCCATAATGCCACAAAGATCACAAAACCCATTCAACACATATTTATAAATTTTGTTAGAAACACCCAATTTTGATAGCCATTCAAAAACTATGGTAACCCTAAAATAGAAAAACATAAATTGAAGGAGAGAAAGGCTTGAAGACTAACCTTCAAATTTGATCCACGGAGACGTGTACTTTTTTTTTTTTTTTTTTAAATGAAAAGTTTGGCGGTTTTTTTAATGTAAGTTTTAGCACATTGGAAAATATGAATTCCCGCGCTATGGAAATTGTTAAATGACGCCTATTTTGGTGGAAATTAAACTCGGGAATTTGATGCCTCAATTTCCATGATTTTTTCCGTGCGTCATTTAATAAATTTCGCGTTTAAGTTGCCAAACAAGGGAATTGTCAATTTCTCCTCTTAAATTCCAGACTTTTAGCTTAGTTCCGAGTTATTTTCCCTCATCCCAACAGAGGCTAAAGTTTTTTTTACCTAGATTGACCTTAGGTCCCTTCATGCATTCATATCATAAATGAAAATTTGTTTTATGTAAAAATATTAACTAAGTATGAACAATGGTTTTGGGGAATAATCATTTTCTCAAGAAAATTTTTGGCGGCTTTTATTCCTGACACATCAAATAAGAAAACTTGATTTTATGGTATTTTAGTATGAAGTGTATATTGACTTAATGAGCCATCATTTTTAGCCTAAATTGTATTTTGCACTAAAACTGATTTTTCATATTTTGATTTGGAGGGAATTTAATTTTCTAGTATTTTTATTTGAATCCAAATGGGGGGTACTTCCTTATTTACATTATAAACTTAAGTAAATGGAATAATATAAAAATAAGTAAAAGTAAAAGGACAAAGACATTTGTATGCCTTACTCAACAAACTAATATGGAATCATGATATCATTATCAAAGTTTGAACTTCCCTTAAGAATCCATTACTACTCAGCAGTGGGGTTCTTACATCTCTCTCTCTCTCTTTCTCTTTCTCCCCCAACACAACTTGGTGGAGCACATCACATAAAATCACATTACTCAGTAAATCCTTGTTGAAAGATTTGTGGCTTTTTTAGAAATCCATAAAACAGATCTTGTATTTGCTGTTGAAAAAATCTCTTGTGCACTAATTCAATAATTGATCAACCCAAACATTTGGCAAACAATGCAATGTCTTCCACTACCATAAAAACTCATAGGCATTTGTGTTCCATTGGCTTTTGTGCATAGAATCTAGGGCAAGAAAATTCTAATTATATTAGAGTGGTCAAGAACAGGGAGTTAGAACTTTTAAACCAGTTAGGAGTTCTGCACAAAAGAAAGTACAATTAGAGATCATATGTGGGAATCTCCCAATGGACCAAAAAAAGAAAAGAATATTCTGAAAACTCAGTTGTCCCTTAATATCATTTGACCAAGTGTACCATAAAATAAATAGATTTTTTTAATTATTAAAATAAAATAAAAATAAAAATAAAAGAAGAAGAAGAAGAAGAAGAAAAACTGCAAACAAAGAGATGGTTTTGTGACAAATGTCATTATTCTAGAAAAAATATGAACCTTTTGACATTAACATATACATGGGATTCTCAGTTGGATTGGAAGACAAGATAAAATATCTCAATCATTTATCTCATGACATCATAGCCTTTTCACCCTCTTCATTGTCCGTACAGGTGCTCTGTTTGGCTTTGGTTTGGAATTTTAATAGGTGGGTATACAGATAGGGATAGATAGATAAAAAGTGGTGGCATTTCAAGGCCTTAAGATAATGGGGGGCATAGATTATCCCAAGTGTT